AAAACTAAAATCTGAGTGGGAGAAAATATCTGCATTCAACACATCAGACAAAGAGCTGATATCCAGGATATATAAAGTACTCACAAAATCAGCTCAAAAAACAATAACCAAAAAAAAAAAACCCCAACAACTCCAGCCAAAAAAAATGGGAAGAGGAAATGAATGGAGACTTCTCTGAGGAATACCAATAGATAGCCAACAGGCACATGAAGAACTGTTCATCATCACTTATTAGTAGGGCAATCCAAATCATGACAAAAGTGAGGTATCTTACACCAGTGAGAATGACAGCTATCAAAAATATTGGGAACAATCTGTGTCAGTTGGGATGTGGTGAAAAAGGATCCCTCATCCACTGCTGGTGGGAATGTTGTCTGGTTCAACGGCTATGGGAAACAGTATGGAGAGTTCTCAGTAAACTTAGAATCAAACTGCCATGTGACCCAGCAATTCCACTTTGGTGTCTCTATCCCTAGAATAATATTCATTCATTCAAAAGGATGTACGCACACCCTATTAGTCATTACAGCACTTATTACAATAGTTAAGATGTAAAATCAACCTAACTGTCCAAGGACAGACAAATGAAGAGGTGGTATATATACACAACAGAGTATTACACAACTGTAAGGAACGATGGAATCATGCAATTTGCTGCAACAAGGTTGGAACTGGAAGATATCATGCTGAGTGAAGTAAAAGAGAAGAAGGATTAAACACAGGATGGTATCACTTTTGCATGGTATTTGGAATAACTGATGAGGGAATGCAGTGGTTTAAAATGGGGATGCCTAGATCATCCATGGCCCCCCAGAATATAGGGAGAAGGAAAGAAATAGAGATAGGGGAAGAGGGAAAATAAGAAGCAGATGAGAAGAAACGAGGAAGGGTCAAGAACACGGAAAGCATGAAACAAACTTAAAAATGTGCCTGGGGGCTGGGGGCTGGGGTATGGGAGGGAACCTGGGAACACTGGTGGGGGGAATTTGACACTGGTGGTGGGATCAGTGCTGGAATGAATACTCTATGTCTAAAACAACTACAACTTTGTAAATCATAGTGCGTCAATAAAATAAAAACATTTAAAATTTATAAACAAAAATATATCAGAAAGGTCTAATATAAAAAAATTATGGGCTAGAGATATGGATCACAGGGCTGGAGCACAAGTTTTATCTACAGGGGCTCTGGGTTTGACCCGACACACTGGTCTGAGCTAGCTATAGTCCAAAAATAAAGATCAAGGAAGAAAAATCCTCCCTGTATTTGGTAAAATTAGTATTTAATAAAATCAAAAGCAATGCCTTACTTGAAGAAATCCATAAAATGACAACTGTTTCACACAATAAAAAAAATCTTACTCCTCAGGCCAAGAAAACAGAGAATTTTGTACTAAAATATCATGAATAAGTTAAAGATGTTCACTATGCCCACAGCTCCTCAGTATTATGCTACAAATATTAGATAGTAAGGCAACAAATATGATTAGAAGGCATGAGAATCGATAAAGAAATAAGTAAAGAAATAAGAAAAGAAATAAAACTATTTGCAGATGATATCAGTCATGTTCTATACCTACGCTCTTTTTTTTTGTTTGTTTTTGGGGTCACACCTGGTGATGCACAAGGAGTTACTCCTGGCTCTGCACTCAGGAACTACTCCTGGCAATGCTCAGGAGACCATATGGGATGCTGGGAATCAAACCAGGGTTGGCCACATGCAAGGCAAATGCCGTACCCGCTGTGCTATTGCGCCAGCCCCTATACCTAAGCTTTTTATGGCTCTGGCTAGAAACAGTTTTATTTTTATTTATTTTGGGGCTTGGATGCTCAGGGCTTACTCCTGGCAGGTGCAGGAGATCATATGGTATGACAGGTATTGAACCCAGAATGAATATGAGCAAGGCAAGCACCTTACCTGCAGTACTATCTCTGGCCTCTTAGAATGGTCTGCTTGCACAAGTACACGGGCACATACACACACATTTTATTTAAACACTGTGATTTACAAAGTTGTTCATGATGATTTGTTACAGGCATTTCCTTAGAAGACAATTAGTGAAAAGTGTTGTACCTCATCATGCAAATGATCTTGAGAGTGCTTTTACCTCCCATAATCTGGGAGCTTCCCTGCACTCTTTTCCCTCCTTCCCTATTCCCCCATAAATAAAATGTTTTCTGAAAAAAAAAAAAGAGAAAATAAAGAGTAGTTTAGAAAAAAAATAGAATGAGGGCTGAAGAAAGAACACAAGGGCTTGATTGTATGTGGCCAAGCCCAGCTTTATTCAGGACCACATGGTTCCCCAAGAACCACCAGGGCGACCGAGCATCTCAGGGCCTGAGCAGCATCCCTGGGCCCGTACACTAAACTGCCAGCTCTGCCCCACAGACCCAGAACTGCTGGGAAGAGCCCCAGACCTCCTGAGCACTGGGAAGCCCACTCCTACCCCCCAAAATAGAAGATGACAGAGGCCACAAAATTATATTATCTGGCAAGTTTGACAATTCCTGATATAGTTGGAAAACCTGGAATTTTAATGTATAACTTAATAAGATATATGAACAAGTGATATAGATCGTCCTGACCCAGAGCCAGGCTGTCTTCAGCAGGGCAACTCAGAGGGGGGCAGGTTTAGTTTCCCTCCCCACCCCAACAGAGCCCCGGCAGCTGAAAAGCTCCAGAACCTAACTGCCACCATGCTCACAACCAATCTTCACAGGCTCGGAGGAGCCTCATCCATGAGTGAATCTGCAGAGGTCCCGTATGCGGGATCCATGACGGAAATCTCCAAGCTCGTTCAGAGTAGGAATGGGTCTCCTCTCCCCATCTCCAAGTTTACCAGAGGCTTGGCAGATACACCCACAAACTGTCCCTGGTGCCACACAATCTCATCAATGGCCAATATCCAGAGACTCAGAAATAAAGATGCGGAAGAGAGCAACATAAGCCTCACCTCTGAGTCAATCTGCTCTATAATTGTATTCTAAATTTTAGAATTCCTGGAGCAACCTCTCACATGCTACACCACTGATGTACCAAGAGTAGCACATATTTGATTGGGTTTAACAAACATGTTTGTAATCTCTTATACAAGGGCTAATAGCTCCGGGATGAAATACAACAATCTTCACACATTTTCCTCTTATGGTGGTGGAAAAGTGCAATTGTGGTGGGATTGTGATAGCACAGCGGTAGGGCATTTGCTTTGCATGCAGCCAGCCCAGCTGACCCAGGTTCGATTCCTCCGCCCCTCTCAGAGAGTCCGACAAGCTACTGAGAGTATCTCGCCCACTCGGCAAAAGCCTGGCAAGCTACCCGTGACGTATCTGATATGCCAAACACGGTAACAACAAGTCTCACAATGGACATGTTACTGGGCCCGCTTGAGCAAATTGATGAACAACGGGAGGACAGTGCTAAGGTGGAGTGTTTGAATATTAAATGTAATAAATTATTGTGAACAACTTTATAAAAATGAAATAAAATTTAAAATATTAAAACCAAAAAAAAAGATGTAAGAATGTAAGGTAAAAGACACAAGTTTATATTCAGATGTCATCTGATATGCAAGATCTGGCCAGCTAAAAGATATAATGATAGAAAAAAAATATGAAAGTAACAAAACCTAGATGAGGAAAAATATGAACACTCTTAAAAACATACAAAATTAGGGGTGAAGAAGGCATTTCTGGTTATGAACAGAATGACTCAACATTATAATATCATTTCTCAATGTTTTTATACTCACCAAAGTAACAATCACTTCTGCATTAAAGTTAGTCAGCAGTGAAATTTACATGTGGAAACAAACATGAAAAAAGTAATAGAGGAAACATGAAAAGTAAACACCACAAAGATCTTCAGCTAATCTTCCAATCTGTGGCTACAGGGATGGATCTGGAGGGTATTATGCTGAGTGAAGCCAGGAGGGGGACAAGACCCAGAATGATGTCTCTCACATTTGGGACTTAAAGAAACATAGTAAGGGAGTAACAAAACGACCACGGTCAACAGAACCTGAAATCTGGACTACAGAACTGAGCTTACCATGGTGAAGGGTCATTAGGAGATAGAGTTGCGGATCAGGTGGGGTAAGGGGGGGTGTGGAATCTGGCGCAGGGTGTGGTATTGGAACTGTATATATTGTAATCATTGTTGTACGATCACAAAATAGCACTGTAATCACGGTCACGGTCCTCCCGTTGTTCATCAGTGCCTTCATTTATATGTAATATGTGCTTCAATTATGGCTAAATATCATATGTTCTAGGCTGGCCATTACAGCTCTTACATTTATATGTATGTGAATATGTATTAGCACTCATGACACGATCACGACCATCCTGTTGTTTGTCGATTGCCTCGAGCAGGCCCCAGTAACATCTCCTTCGTCCTAGCCCTGAGATTTTTTTAAAAATTCAGGTTCTTTCAGGGTTAGAAGAATGAGACCCATCATTGTTACTGGTATTTGGCATATTGGGTACCCCACGGGGAGTTTGCCAGACTCTGCCATGTGGGCAGGTTACATTCGGTAGCCTGCCAGGTTGTCCAAAGTAAGAATGAGATAATAAGATGCGCTTCCAGGATCTGGATTTTATAGTCTCTGGGTCTTGGCCATTGATGGGATTACACAGCGCCAGGGGGCCATTTGGGGGATGTGACCTCTGCCTACTGGAAGATGGAGGATCTGGGTGGAGGATGCTCAGCCCCGATCCGAGCAGGCTTGGAGATCTCAGCCCCGTGACCTGCATGCCTTTGTTCCTCTGCCGGTACCTTCATGTGTGCGGAGAGTGGTTTCAGCATGGTGGTGGCTGGTTCTGGAGGTCTTCGGCTGCCGGAGCCCTGGTCGGGGTGGGGAGGGAAACTCAACCCGCTCCCCTCCAAGGGGCCCCTGCAAGGACAGCCAGGTGCGGGGACAGGAGACTGTGCACTATTACAGGCTATTTATTAAAAAATTTTAAGACATAATGAAGACAACAAAAAACTGCCAAATGACTCACCTTTTGCTTCAAATGTCAGTTTTACAGAATCCCAGGGTGTCTGTTCTTTGGATACGAGTCTGAAATGTGCAGGATCACTTGGAGAGACTTCTGGGGCAGGAAGATACCAGCTTTTTCTGTTTGGAAAGGGAGCATCAGTACTTAGGATGCTTTATTATTTACTATCAATAATTCACGGATGGGTAAATTTATAATATTTAATATTTATGGTCGATAGCACAGCAGGTAGGGTGTTTGCCTTGCACGCAGCCAACATGGCCGACCTGAGTTCGATTCCTCCGCCCCTCTTGGAGAGCCTGGAAAGCTACCGAGAGTATCTCGCCCACACAGCAGCGCCTAGCAAGCTACCTGTGACATATTCGATATGTCAAACACAGTAACAAGTCTCACAATGTTACTGGGCCCACTCAAGCAAATCGGTGAACAACGGGAGGACCGTGACCGTGATTTCATGGAAGTGCTTAGACTGTATGAAATGCCTACTGGAGTGTGAGAATGAACTCTACTGTATATGAACATCAGTACCAATCCTGTGAAGCGTAGGCTACAGCACAACGAAATCTTCCCAAAGTGAAGAACAAAGGCCCCGATGTGATCTGGAATCCACCACTCATCTGATTTTTTTCCTTCCATCCTGATCTGCAGCCAGTCCTGCACTGCCAAACCATCAAAACTTTCCAGAAATAAAAATAAATTGAGAATGAAGCTTAACTGCAATCTCTGAGGTCAGTCAGCAGGGCTACTTCCCAGCCTACCTACTCGGATTTCTAGAGGCAAGACTTCTGAAACTTGAAAAGGTAGAATGATGCTCTTAAAATGATATCCCGCTAAAGAAACAAACTCTATCATCATAAGGTAATACTTATCATGTCTATGTTAAATCATTTTAAATAATAAAATACTGACCTAGTAACAACAACAACAAAATACATCGTAATAAATTAACATCCAACTAAAGCAGCCAAGTAAGGACCCACCTGTTCAGAAAGTGCACTGGAAGGTACCATGGGAAGCCACAAAAGGGTGCATTTTCCTCACAGTTGGTTCGGATGGTATCATTGATCTCAGGAATGTAGGGTGTTATGTGAGACATACCAGTGTAATCGAATCCATTTATCCATATTCCAGAGTCCCGCTTAACTACATTTCCATCTAAGCCATGAAAAGTTCTCGTCGTATGCTGAAAAGAACAAGACTAATGAAAAAAAAGCACTTCAACTACTTCACCCATATTCCCACCCCCAGATAAACAAAGATCAATTGAGTCTGACAATTCCAAGTAACCATGTGGATACAGAGTCAGAACTCACATACACTGCTGGCAGGTGAATACCCTGGCATAATCTCTTTAGGAAACTGCTTCACAGTTACTGAATGAATATGGACATACCCTTCAAGCCAGCCCACTCCTGAATCTGCACCATACAGAAATCTGCAAGATTCAAGGGTATTGACTGGGAACTGTTCACATTAGCAAAACTAGAAACCATCCACATGTCCAACAAACAATATAAATGACAAATTAATTCCCTGGGGCCTCCTTCCACAATGAGACTATTCTGCAATAAAAAAATAATTACAGGGGTAAAACAGCAAGAAAGAGTCTCGTGGCATATTGCCCACTGGTCGTGGGCAAAAAAAGAAGTCAAAGTATCTAACATCCATTTTCACTAGCATTTTAAAATGCTTATTTTAAGATAGTATTGACTGATGAAAAGGCCTTGGCCTTAGATTATGACTGAGACTAACAAGTAATGGGGGAGGAGGGAAGAGGGGACAAAAAGTGATACAAGGACTCTGGGGAAGGGTTTGGGGCACATTAGTGGTGGTGAAGGTACAGTAACTTTGTATAGCAAAACCACAAATGTTAACACTGTTGTAACCATGTTAACTAACCTGTAATAAAAATTTAAAACTAGGGGCCCAAGCTATCACAGAGTTTTCTTAGCACACAACCAACCCAGGTTCAATCCCGGGCACACAATATGGTCCTTTGAACTCTATCAGGAGTGATCCCTGAGAACAGAGCCAGGAGTAAGCTCCCAGTATTTCCAGGTATAGCCTAACCCCCTCCCCACCAATAAATAAATAAATAAAATCTAAGTATAGGAGCTTAACAATAGTGCAGGGGTAAAAGCATTTGCCTTGCATGTGGCCAATCCCAGTTCAATCCCTAAGTACCTACTATGGTTCCATGAGGGATCCCTGAGCACCAGAGGGTGTAGCTCAGACCTCCTCAAACCATAAAATTAAAATTTCTTTAAAATATGTATTTTTCCAGCTTTAACAATTCTTAATTTTATTCATCCTGCAGACATTTTTACCATCGTGACTTCTAAAAGTCATTACTGCATGATACAAATCTGCTTGATTTTCTAGATAGGCAAATTTTTATAATCTGAATAGTAAAATTTTTAAAAAGAAAAGAAGTAGACATTTCCAACTGAGTCTCCTAGGAGAAGCGTGGTGAGCTGCTAAGACCACCTCTCGATGCTTTGTATTCTCCCTGCTGCCTTACCAACAAAACAGTTGAGTATATCTAAATAGGTCAACAGTAAAGACGTCTGTTGGTTGACTAGTGAAGCTCAAAAACACACAAGGCTTTCCTCTTCAGAATTTTTAACAGCCGACACAAAATCACTCTCACCTGTAGAAACACTCTCTTTGGCTTTGGACTGTCAGGGTTGGAACTGTATGGGAAAAAAGTTCCACTGCAAACGAGGAGGAATGTAACTGCACACACTCCAGCTAAAGTCAACAACGTTTTTCTTGTGCTTTTGACAAGGTAGATGAAGTTAATCTGAAATACAAAAAATAGAAAAATTATAGAGACTTTGGCAGAAAGGTGGTTTTGACTATTTTTATAAGAGGTATTACCTTCTCGCCAGCACAGCAAAGCCTGGCAAGCTACCTGTGAACGTATTCAATATGCCAAACACAGTAACAACAAGTCTCACGATGGAGACGTTACTGGGCCCGCTTGAGCAAATCGATGAACAATGGGAGGACCAAGACCGTGACCATGACCTTCCAGGCAGTGAAGAAAAATTCACTGTTTGCTAACAAACTCCCACCTTGCATACTGACCATGAGGATGTCCATCACAGGTCAGAGTACAGATAAAGGAGCAATGGCTGCAACCTGCTGTTACATGCCTTTTTGACAAGTAGCCAGACACAAGAGGGAAAAATAAAAACTCAGTGTCTCTACTCAGTTAGCAAAGAGACCAGAGGATATAGATCCATCATGAATTACACCAGGACCTCACTTGAACACTCTCTAGATATCACTGTCCAGCAAGGAGTATTCAACTTTACCAAATATTATTCTTTTACTAAAGGACCAGAGGCAAGATTCTTAAAAGCAGTCTTATTGCAACAAAACCCAATTTCCATGGGTAATGCTTTTTATAATTTGCCAAAGTGCTGAATTCACTGAAACTAGCATTTAGACGTACCTTCCACACTGCCTATGGCCTGCATATGGCCAGAAAACTACATTAGAAAGTAGTACTGCCCTTTCAGTGCCAAGTTAGCACATCCGTGCAATCAAAACAAAAAACTCTGAACTTAGGTGGGTAAAGTAAGTGGCCTAGAATCAAGGTAGACATAAAACAAACAAACAAACAAAACCCTAAATATGCTTCTATTATTTCTTTGCTTTCTTTGGCGGATGAGAGTGGGGGCTCTGGGGGTTGGGGGTGGGGGTGTCACACATGGCTGTGTTTAAGCCTCACTCCTGGCTCTTTAGGGCTCAGGGGACCTTCTGAGGTGCAGTGGACCAAACTCAGGGACTGAACTCAGGTCTGCCATGTGCAAGGCAAGTGTTTTATATGCTGTGCTATCTCTCTGCACCCCTAAGTCACTAAAAATTCCGTTTTAACTGAATTTTTAAAAGTTATAATGGACACATGACTTGTATATATAAGTCCCCAGGCCCTTAGATATTTTGAAGCAGGGTCAGAGCAATAGTACAGCAGGTAGGGCATCTGCCTTACACGCAGCTGACCAGGATTGGATCCCCAGCATCCCGTAAGGTCCCCTGAGCCCAGGTGCCCCCAGCCCAATAGGAGTAATTCTTGAGTGCAGAGCCAGGAGTAACCCCTGAACATCACTGGGTATGGCCCAAAAACAAAACAAACTAAAAAGAAGTTTTAATGGAGCATTCTGAGAAACAAGCATCTAAACCTTCGCCTTCTCTCCTGTATCACCGATCCTCTCAGGTCATAACTGGACAGTTAAGGAACATAAATGTGAAAATAGTTTTTCAGATAAAAATAAAGACTGAAGCAAATATAACCTACCATATACTCCGTCATGTAAAAGTAAAGGATTCTTATTTACAAGGCAACAATATCCCATCCCGCGTAGCATGTGCGTTTAGCAAAACACTATTGCATAAGAGTTACGAAATTCAAAATGTGGGTCCTTTGAACATTTTTCAACTATTCTTCCCATTAGATTAGCAGATCTCCACTGGAAGAATGTTATATTAAGTGAAGATAATCTTTCAGGTGAAAAAACTACCCTGAAATAATTCTCTGCACCTTGCCATTCTCAAACCAACTAATTCCCAGCATGGTCCTACAGCCTCAGTCGACTAATTCCTACATCTACACTGCCTCTTTTTTCTTGGCAGGGGAGAGGGGAGGAGGGGCGCAGGGCACACCAGAGGTGCGCTGGGCTTACTCCTGACTCGGCACTCAAGGATCATTCCTGGTGGGCTCTGGGACCATATGGGGTGCTGGGAATGGAACCAGGGTTGGCTGCATGCAAGGCTAATGCCCTACCCGGTATCCTATCTCTCTGCTCCCCCACATTCACTCTTTTCCACAACTTCGGCCTCTTCGACCCATCTTCCAGAAGATATTCGGTAATGCTCATAAATGAAATGGCAATCACAGAGCAGAGAAGGAAACTGAAATGACCATGTGTTCAGTCCACTGTCCTAATTTCACGCTCTTCAGTCTTAAGAGCTGCATCTTACATTACTGTAGATTCTGAAATGGGTGTAAAATAAAATGAAGTGTGAGAAGGGGCTGTGCAGTGCCTGATGAATGCACGCCTCGAAGACTCCTCTGTCTCCTCCTTACCCATCAGCGTCTCATTGACTCAATCTAACTATGATATTCCCAAGGGATAATCCCAGAAAACCTTTTAACTGATTACTTGACAGAAAGTTAATTGCCATTTAGCAAATATATTTAAGAAGCCCCCAAGGACTGAAAGAAATGTTCTCTGAACTCTGCAATGTAGTTCAATTCTCCATTAGCCGAATCTAATGGGCCATTATCTTTACCACTGTTACACATACATAAGAAAATGATGAGATTAATGCATTGCACCAAGAGCTACTTGACATTATAGTTAAAACCGGAAAATAATTGGAAGTATTCCAAGAAGTACTTTCAGGATAAAGTGTTATCCTCTAAATCCATTAGGAAACTCCAAAAAGAAAAATACATGTTAATCAAAAAAAAAAAAAAAATACATGTTAATCTTTCTCCTGAATTCCCAAGAATTGCTTTGGGGTCATTTTCAATTTCCACAGTGAAGTTGCAGCTCATAACATAGCTGACTCCAGATTAGAAATTAGTATACATCTGAGAGAACACCACCAATTCCTTTAGTCCCTATAAAAGCACAGAGGATTTAAAGGTTTACCATTAAAACCAAAAGTAGGATCTCTGCAGACAATACAGAGCACTTTAGAATTTTCTACCTATTCTTGCGGATAGCAGTAAGGACTAAATAATTACCTTTAAAGGTAAAATGCCAGAATGCTTTAAATATTTTTAGGACTCATACAACTCAACACAAATGAGTGTGTGTATAAGAATTACTATATGAAACTTTCTATCAATCTATGTGTGCAGTCACATACCCAAACCTTCTCTGGTTATTTAGGGGACATCCCTGAATAATACTGACATGGCACTCTTTCCGGTCTCAACCCTAAACTCAGGAAATGCCCATAACCTGTTAAGCCATAGGCCCTATCTTATTTAATCACATCATTGCCCTGTGGTTAATTTAACTACAGAGCATTGTTAAATACTGAATGAAAAATTTCACTATTGTAGGGCCCAGAGAAATAGTACTTGGGTTAAAGTACTTACTGGGGTTGGGGTGGGGGAGAGACAATTAAGAGGGTGGGGTGCTTGTCCTGCATGCAGCCAATGGGGGTTCAAGCCCTGGCGTTCCATATTGTTTCCTGAGCACAGAGCCAGGTCCCCTGGAGTGATCCCTGAGGCAGAGCCAGGACTAAGCCCTAAAATAGCCAGGAATTTGCCTCCCCCACCTCCCCCAATTAAAAAAAGAAAAAAAGATGCTTGCTGGTACTCAGCTGAATCCCTCCCCAGTTGAATCCCTGGCACCCTATGCAATGCCAGATGTGATCTCTGAGAACAGAGCCAGGAGTAGGGTCTGAGAACTGCCAGGTGTGGCCCAAACCATACCTTCCATCCCTTAAATCTACTATTTCCACAGAGAAAAGAACCATAATAAAGACCAAAACTTGGGGCTGGAGAGAGCACAGTGGGTAGGGCATTTGCCTTGCATGCAGCCGACCCGGGTTCGATTCCCAGCATCCCATGTGGTCCCCTGAGCACTGCTAGGGGTAATTCCTGAGTGCAGAGCCAGGAGTAACCCCTGAGCATCACCAGGTATGACCCAAAAAGGAAAAAAAAAAAAAAAAAGACCAAAACTGTCTTTTCTATTTGCTCCCTAGTCTCAAATCTCAGAGTACACCCAGGAGTATTCAATAAGTACTTCTCTTAAAATCTTAGTCAAAAAATCTCTCTAGAGATCTGTCACCTCTAAAGGGTCCAGACCCGAGTTCTGAAGCACAGGGTCTACAACAAGCAAAATTCTGCCTGGAGGAGTGGAGGGAGATCAGGATGTCATTTCTGCAGTTTCTCTTTTCTTCTTTCTAAAGCATTTCTGGGAAGAGAAGCAAAGATGTATAGCAAAGGCAAAATTCTCCAGAAGGCAGAACTCTAATATTGTAAAGTGAGGTTGACCAGGCCTGTGATACTCTTTAATTACTTGTTAAATGAAGGTGTTGTTGGTTGTATGCGCATACATCACTCAAGGAGACAGAAGGGCAATGATCTCTGAACATGAATAGTAAAACAGCTCAAGGACAATGGGAAGATTCATCAGAATAAGTCTTCCTTCACTAGCTTTAACAGCCCTAATAAAACTACCAAGTATTTACTAACATTTGCCTCTAACTAGTAACTTCAAATCGTACTACTGAAAATCATTCCAAATTTTCACCAACAAGCAGTGAAGTTCATTCCACAAATTTATACCCAGGCAGTTTGAAAAACTATTTGAAAAGAGGATCTGAGAGCCTAAGGAGATAAAAAGAAATCCCATTCTATGGTTTCTTACCATACCAAACCCAAAAGATGTACCCAATCATTCTTTCTTCTGCATAAGAATTTCTCAGTTACGCAAAATCAGCACTATTTCACAGAAGCTCATACAGTCAAGCATTGCATATTCATGTAAGAAAGAAAAGAGAAAATTTGAAAACTAATTTTTTTTCCCTTACAAAATAGGAAGAGAGAATCATTGTACAACCAGCCAAAATGGAAGCCAGGACGACATCAGGTGGGATTTCCGAACCGCTTCTTCCAAGGATAGGGGTAAACATCTCAAACACTGCCCAGATGAGGTACAATGCATAAAGATAAGGAACAAACATCCCCAAAAGATAAAAGGCAATGAATTTTCCTCCGGCACCTAGAGAAGAGAAAACATACATCTCTTAAGTCCTATAGAGAGATTTTCACAGTACTGGTATACTTTAGCATCTACTACAAATTAGGTTAGATATGACTTATCTTTTGGGTTCGTGTTTAGTGAGGGGAAACCCTTTCACTCAGCGAGAATACAGATAATTTTTTTAATGTAAGAACTGCATTAGCATATATTCATAAATAGGAAAACTGGATGGAATATACGAGAACAGAACAGAGAAAGAGCCCTGAAAGCCTCATCTTACTATGTTAAGGTATTTTCTCATTTGTAACAAAACCAAAAGTACCCTACCATGCTGCTTAAAGTCCTTGTGCACGCAAAGCTTTGTGAGCAATGGAAATGCCACCCAGACAGCGTTAATAAATGCTGAGCAAAGTCCACGGTAAGTGAAAGCTACAAGGAAACCACAATGCACAAACAGCAAGATGTCAAAAAACAGTTCTCCCAGATACTGGTCACTGGCATTCTGAAAAAAAAAAAAAGAAAAGAAAAGAAAAACATACAAGCAGTCTCATTCACCATTCACAAAGAACTTCTATTGTAACATCATTGCTTGTGTGCACAAGAGCTACACAATGTTCTGAGTGAGGTCTACCCTTCAAACTTTAGATGCAAAGTTCCCAGCACTGGTGTGGTGAGGCCGTCACCTGGCTCAGGGGAAAGGGGGATTTGGTGCAGGTAATCCTTACTTTTGCTCTGCTGGGCTAAGAGGAGCATTTGGAAGTCATCCAAAATAAGAGGGTGCTCCTAAAAACATTGACATCTTGAAGCTTCCCTAGTTTTACAACTTCTGTAGAATAACAAATTAATCAGAAAAAAAAAAAAATGTGTGAATAAACAAGTGGCTATAGCACCACCCACAGCACACCTGGGGAATTGCAGGACTTTTCTGGGGGGGAAGGAGGGCTGAGGGGGTTCTTTTTGTTTGGGAGCCTCACCCAGCAGTGCTCGAGTCTTACTCCTGGCTCTGTGCTCAGGAATCACTCCTGGTTATGTCTGAGGGACTGTATGTGTCGCTAAAGTCAAGCATATGCAAGGCAAGTGCTTTACCCACTACACTATCTGTTCAGTCCCCAACTCAGAGCTTTTAAAAAGAAACAATGTTAACTATTAATAAAAATATTTTACATTAAGTTTCTGAACTCTACACAGATCAAGTACACAGCCTCTACCTACCAAAAGTTGGAGTAGACCCCTGCCAACTCCAGTTTTTCCAATCCATTCTGCAGACTATTGCTGGAGTTTTTATACGAAATCACAGATTGCCTCACTGTCCTACTCAGAAAACTGTAATGCTGGCTGCACTGATTTTTAGGATCCAATTTCACCCTGGTGTACTTTTCCAGTTACTATGCTGACCACACTGAACTTCTTATTAACTATGACCCAAGTGATCCTTTTGAGATAGATACACACCCACTGATGCTCAGTACTTCCTCCTGGTTCTGTGCTCGGGGTCACTTCTGGAGGTTCTCAGAGGACCCTATACAGTGCCAGGATCGAACTGGGGTCAGCTACATGCAAGGCAAATGACTCTACTATCTCTCTGGTCTCTCAAATGTATCTTGTCCATTCCCATCCTTGACTGCTCATCAAGTCGTTCTCTATCTGGTACATATCTACTTGTGCTTCAAAACCCGGCTCAGGGGCTAGAGCTATAGTTCAATGGGTAGGGCGTTTTCCTTGCAAGTGGCTGATCTGGATTCGATACTAGGCATCCCATATGGTCCCCTGAGCACCACCAGGAGCAACTCCTGAGTGCAGAGCCAGGAATAACCCCTGAGCACTGCCAGTGTGACCCAAAAAGAAGAAAAAAAAAAACACCCACGTTCAGATGTCACATACAACTTCACAAAACCCTATGATGAGAGAAAATTCATCTTCTGGAAAGAAGAAAAATTCATCTCTCTGGCTCTGTATTTCGAACATTTTCTGCATTTTACTCCATTTCACTTTGTTCCCATGTGATATAACCATGTGGCTTATCCATCTTCCCCAGTTGACTGAGCTACTCAAAGAAAGAGACAGCTTTCATGTGTCTTTCTACGCACTGGGTCTTCTAGGTACTCAAAGAATATTTGTGAAATGAAAATGAAATGCATTATTCTTTCCATGTGGTTTCAATACAAAGATCTGTGAATGGACACTGAAATTAGGCAAGTAAACAGAATTAATTTTACCAAGAATTTCTGTCTCTCTCCCCTGCCACCTTGTTTAATAAATAACACTCTGACTATACATATGACACAAAGAATAATCATATGAAACTGTGCCCCCTGTCTAAATCTTTTGAAAACTAAAGGCACTAAGATACTAGTCTCAACCATAAACATATGGCTCAATTCCAAAGTCATTTCTTCAGTAAGGCCTGCTAATATGGAAAGGCTCCTCAGAACACACCAAACATTAACTCAAATAGACACCAAGGTTCTGGTATCAAAGGCATTCTTGTGCAAAGATGTATGGTTATATTCATATGTTTCTATTCTAACCCCAAGTCACAAAATCTGTTTTCTTAAAAATATTGAACGATCTTCTCCCCACTTCAACTCACTTAAAAACCAGAAATCTTGTCTCTTTCACTATAATTTATTTTTAGTCCTATATCCCTGTTTTCCGGACTGGAGCAATAGCACAGCATGTAGGGAGTTTGCCTTACACACAGCTGACCCAGGTTCGATTCCTCCGCCCCACCCGGCAAGCTACCGAGAGTATCTCTCCCGCACGGCAAAGCCTGGCACGCTACCCGTGATGTATTCAATATGCCAAAAACATTAACAAGTCTCACAATTGTGAGACATTACTGGTGCCTGCTCAAGCAAATCGATGAACAACGGGAGGACAGTGACAGTGATCCCTATTTCCCAACTTCTTATTTTCACTAAAAATCTATATACTTGTAGCTGTAACAATATGATATGGCAGTATTCTCCAAGTCAGAACAAATCATTTTTCAACCCAATCCACCTTCCCTCTCGGCTTTCTTTACCAATACGGCTAATCTCCAGTCCATACGCATATTTCATCAGAATCTGCATCAATGATCTCTCTCAGAAGTGGGATAAAAAGTAGGATAGCAAGGGAATGACAAATGGCACAAAATTATAGAGTCTGAACTGGTCTACAGAACTGAGCTTACCATGGTGGGGAGACAAGATTGATTTGGGGGTAAGGGGAGGCCTGAGACAATATTGAAGGGAAACAGACACTGGTGGAGGGTGAGATACTGGAATATTACAGGCACAAAACACCACTGCGGACAGTGCTATGAATTATAGTGACTAAAATTTTAAAAACTGTTAATTAGTTTTTGACAAACAGAAAACTTGAATTGCTACATTCCTTCAGGCAGTAAAACTATGTTAGTGCTTTTGTCAGACAAAGCACAAGGATGATAGCAATGAACAAAACAAACCCAACCCAGAACTCACAGTTCACTGGAGAACAGAACTACTGGGCCCAGGGAGGGCAGGAAGTTCAAGAGCAAAGTTACCAAAACCGTGGCAGATTCAGCAGAGGCAAAAATCTATGCTAAAGCTTGCAGTCAACATCACCCCAAACATTGTTCAGTCTTATAATCTCATTTGAACTCTGCAAGGAGGCCCTCAAACTAAAAAATCATCCAGAAAATTAACATGTTCTGAGAGTTAGTTTTATATAACCATGCCAAACCATTTTTGAGAGATTAAAAAAAAAACACAAAACAACAAATTCCATTTGAGCTTGTCTTCAATCCTTGAAGGTAGCAAATAAATCAATAAATTAATAAACGTGCTTTAAGACTTACCACATAATAAAATCTTTTGGCAAGAGTATGTATAAGTATTATTTTGGCTATAGCTGCTGTTCCATACAGACATACGGAGACATAGAAGTGGTTATACCATGACAGTGACTGTCCAATGAGCGAGATGAACACTGCTATAATGAGAACGGTAACCAGGCTAGTAAACCAGCTTATCAAGGTGATGCCAAGTCCACAGAAGAAGTCCTTTGTGTAGTTAGCAGCTAATGAAGAGAGAAGGGAAAAAAATGAAGGTGACCTTTATTAAAATCAGTCTCTTACACGCTCAGTAGACATGGACAAACATTAAACACAAAATTTACTACCACAACTAAAAAGTACTTTCAAGTTCAAGAGGTAAAGTTTGTTAAACACAAGGTAAGGGACGATATCAAATAACATTTAACATTTATTGAGAGTCTGTGAGTACTAAAAAACTCAAAGAGGGCAGTCTTCCAGGAATAGCTATGATATTAATTCCTAACTAGGGAAATGGATTCATCGCCTGTGAGATGTCTGTATATCAATGTCAGCATAATGGAAGGAACATTCCACATAAAATCTCACTAAAAGAAGCCTGGGAAAAATAACTTGTGATAAAGAATTATTTAAATTGCTGCTATTATTTTAGGTAGTAATAGCACCTAACAACATACATTCTGAGATATTTCAAATAGGAGACCAACTGCCAGAAGCAGTTCATTTAGACATCAGATAGTGAACTGTTGGGCTATAGTGTGGGACTATTTAATGGGACTTTTCACTAAAATCTATCTAACAATCTATTTTCCCAAAAGTTTCTAGCTGGTACTTCTATCAGCTACTGCCTACTCCACAAGACTAAAAGTGAACCACGCATTATCAGTCTGATTCTCAGTTAGAAATACCTTCCAAGCCAAATGCTATTTTATGATTTTTGAACTTCCTGGGGAAAAAAAAGGAAACTGAATTTAAAAACATTCAGGCACTTTCTATGCTCTTGTCACAATTACAGATTTAGAAGAAAGTACTTACTCTTACGTTTGGGCTGCAACATTTTTCTGCCCAGGTACAAAACAACAGCCATTACCACCATGCAGTTAATGATGGAGCCCATCCGAGACGGGTAGGCGACAACAAAAAGGCCAAGCACGTCAAAGAAGACGACGTTTCCATGCTGATACTCTGAAGAAGCAGCCACCACATCAGAGGTAGCGAGGTATTTAAGAACTGCTAAAATGTTGTCACCTTAAGAAAAGATAATAAAAGTTGAATAATCCACCCACTGTTTGGGTTAAATTAAAAAAAAAAAAAGACAACGTGACTTTTACCATTCTAGTACTCTTCCCTTTTCTTGTTAAATTTATGAAATAATGCCCATGCCCCTTACTCCCAATTCCTCTCCATTCAGCCAACTGCTCTGTATTCTTTTCATCAGAACTATTCTCTGATCAACTTTATCCTTGCTGTTAACAAATCCGACACTTTTTTAGTCCCCATTCACTGGAACAAAAGCTTAATGCAGCAAACACTACTATGGACACCAGAAATTCAGTGGTGAGCCAAGAGACAAAAATCCTCTAGATAAGGCTCACAGACATTAAATAAGTTTCAATGTATATATTAAAACTAATAAAGAGTATCTATTATGTCTCAATTTAAAAATGAGAGGCACATAGGATAGGGGATGGGCTGGCCCTTCCCATCCCCCAACCCCAATGGGACCCTGAGATGATGCCCACGAACTGCATCCGGCTACTATTTTAGGTCCTTAACTAAGGCCATGATCCAGAGACACACAAAAGAACACACAAAAGAATCTTGGAACCAAGCACCTCGCTGCAGAGATGCCGCCAGACTTTGCACCAGGCTGATTTCACAGTGCTACTCCAGACAAGAGCAGGTGCTGTCTCTCCACCTACCCTCTAGGAATCCCTGTGGCCGCCATCCTCCAAAACCCAATGAGAAGCCAAGATATGCGGGAGCAGTAACAGCAAACACCAGGCCTCACGGGATAGGGGATGGGGCAGCCTGTGTCACCCCCCACCCCAATGGAACCCTGAGATGATACCCAAGAACTGCATCCGGCTACTATTTAAGCTCCTTAACAGAACCATGACCCAGAAACGCACAAAAGAATCTCGGAACCGGGCAGCTCACTGCAGAAATCTTTCCAGACACTAATTATCTAAAATTTTAGAATTCCAGGAGTGCGCGGCTGCTGCTGCAGCCGCATGACACCTTATGCTATTTATAAGAAGCAATACAAAATTGTCTAGCATTGCCGTTTTGGCAAGTTTGAGTGGTGGCAAGAAAATTCCAAAAAATTAACGGTGGGACTGGTGTCAAAATATTGAATGTAATCGAAGTAGAGAGTATTGTGGAAATTGTCTGCCATACAGGCAGGGGAAGGGTTGAAATGGGAGAGGATACTGGGGATTTTGGTGGTGGGAAATGTGCACTGGTGAAGGGGTGGGTGTTTGATCACTGTATGACCAAAACTCAAACATGAAAGCTTTGTAACTGTATCTCACAGTGATTCAATTAAAAAAAAATAAAATAAAGAGTGAGAGAGAGGCAGCAGAGACCCCTGGGAATGACTCTATCATGGTAAAGGATGAATAGGACCTAGTTTCAATGAGGAAAATTGTTCAGACTGAGAGAGATATGCAAATGAAGGTCCTGAAGAAAAAGGACCCAGATACAGAAAAAAGGCCTGAATGAGGGAGAAGGGATTCGGCGGCAGCTGGAGAGTGGGGAAAAGTTCCTATCAGGCAGAAACTGGCCTATCCAAGGTCTGAGAATGCCAAAGAATGAATGAGCCTGAACCTTAACAGAAGAGCAAGAAGAGCCTTTGAATGGCCCTCAGTTTTTTCAACTATTATCCCATCCTTGATTTTCTCTTCCTTTCACTTTAGATATCAGACAGTACCAAACTTCCCTCATTGGTTTCTCCATCTGCCTTAAAATGTTTCCCCAAACTCAGAGTTAGTCCCTAACCTTTGCTTCACTTTTCAAAAACAACTTTTCTATTCTCTTTACTTTTCATGGCTGTTGCAATGTTTTCAATTCCCAAACCCAGGTTGCCTGTAGTGTCAAGAGCTCTGACTTCGTATCTCTCTGTTCTATCTGTCTGGTCTATAACCTCCTCCATCTTTACCGACTGAGTTCACTGTCTCCTTTCCCTCTTCCCATGCCCCTATCATAAGCCATCACTTTGTTTTCTCTAGGCTTTATACTTGACAAACTTTGCTCCCATCCCTCTGAGTCACCCCTTCTCCGGTAGTGTATCAAGCCTGGGTCTTCATTTACAGTAGAGTGAATCTCCCATCGCTCCCCTTTTTGTTTCCATTCTTTCTCAACATCAGTCTAGTGTTTCCCAAAGCGGGCGACCATGCCTGCTGGGGGTACTGGAATGATGGGGTGGAAGCAGGGAGGGAAGAGCCTGAGGTGCAAGTGGAGGGGGCACTTTACTTTGCTCCCTTAAAGAAGACAGATTTCCTGGAAAGAGATCACCGAGGGCAGAACCTTCTCAGACAGCCATCCTGGTGGAGACCTCCAGGGCTGACCTCCAAGGCTAGCTCCAAACAAAGCCCCAGCAGTCACTCCCACACCTCAAAGCCAGTAAAAGAGTAAAAGAGTTAGCTCCAGTCAGACCGTTAAGAATTCTGAATTTTCTGGAGCGCATGGCCTCATTTGTGGCCATGCTACATCACCAACGTCTACAACGCTGACATGCCAATAGCAGATGATGGGATGTAACCTAGACACCAACCAATCTCGACTAACAAAAACATCAATACAAGAAGTTATCTTACAACAACAGCTTATCAACCCTCGGACAAGGACTTAACGTACCCATGATACAACAACTTTCACAAATTTTCTTCTATAGAAACATTTTTTGATCATTCCATTAGTCACTTAGGGGTCACTATCACTATCACCCCATTGTTCATCGATTTGCTCAACTGGGCGCCAGTAACATCTCCGTCCGTCCCTGTCATGTGCTAGTGTAGCCCGATGGCATGTTGGGGGCTCTTTCAGGGTCAGGGGAATGAGGACCATCATTGTTACTGTTTTTGGTATACCGAGTACACCACGGGTAGCTTGCCAGGCTTAGGACTAACAAGCAATATAAGATAAGTTATTGTCGACCAGCTATGGGGGAAGGCTTGAGGGGCAGTTGGGAAAATAGAGACAGTGGTGGAAGGGAGATGATAGTGGAAGTGGGATTGCTGTTGGAATGAATGCCTGTAGCAAATCATCGTGAACAACTTTGTAAATCATGATGTTCAAATGGGCTGGAGCGATAGCACAGCAGGTAGGGCGTTTGCCTTGCACGCGGCTGACACGGCCAACCCAGTTCCATTCCTCCACCCCTCTTGGAGAGCCCAGCAAGCTACTGAGAATATCTCGCCCACACAGCAAAGCCTGGCAAGCTACCCATGACATATTTGATATGCCAAACACAGTAACAAGTCTCACAATGTTACTGGGCCTGCTCGAGCAAATTGATGAACAGGAGGACAGTGACAGTGACAGTGATGTTCAAATAAAGTGGGGAAAGCGGTAAAAAAGAGGTTAACTTCCAGGAAGGCAGGCACTGAGTCTTCCCTCCCCCCAAGCCCAAAAAGAGGGCCTTACACTAAATAGGTTCGGGAACCTCTGGTAAAGATCCTCTTTATTCCACTTACAGTCAGTACCACCCTGACTCCTGGCTCTCCTCCTGCCCCTCACCCAACTGACACATACTGCACTCCACTACTGGAATAATAGTACTTAGAAAACACCGTAAAGGGTCAGGGACAAGTCATTGGGCAGGAGCACAGGCCTTGCATAAGGAAGTCAAGGTGGGGGCCCTTCCACCACCCGGCTCCCTGAGCACCAAGACAGGAGGAGCCCTTAACAACACCAGGTATGGTCCAAAACCCCAAATGAAAATGTAACCCCCCAAAAACGCTACCTTCATTAGAGTCCTCGCTAGCAGGATCTGGGGACCCACCAGTGATTCTCAGTGAACAGGGCAACAGTACAAGGCGAGGGTCCGAGGAGTCAACACTGTTCAGACCCTGCAGTGCCTGGAATACCCAGGTCGCCCCAGGAGCTCTAGGGGCCTCCAGGACTGCACCTGGTGATGCCCCGGGGACCACGTGGGGACAGGGACCGAGCTTCGGTCAATTCAAACGCCCTCACATCTCCCACACCCTCTTCCTGCTGATTTTTATTGGGGTTCACACCAGGCAGTGCTCAGGGCTGACTACTGGCTCTGTGCTTCAGGACCTCTCCTGGCGGGCTCAGAGGACCGTACTGGGTGCTGGGGGCTGAGCCCACACGCGCCACACTCAAAGCAAGCACTTTACTGCTGTATTGTCGCTCCAGCCCTTGATGACTTTTAAAACCTCCTACAATTTGTTCTATCTCATTTACACAAATTGACTTCATTGCTCCCCATTTCTGAAAACATAATTTCCATTTAGACTATAGCTTTACGGTCTAATCTTTAGTCCCTACATGCACAAATACACCAACTCACTGGGTGCAACTCTCAGTGGGACTGTCCTCTCTCCTCCACGAAATTTACCGTTGGCCTCATCTCCCCTGCCAATTCCAGATCTCTCCAGAAACATCTCAACTCCTTGGTCCCTCTTCTGTCCTAGAACTTGTTCACCTGTCCTCACTGCCCATCCTTGGATCAGTATAATCATTTTATACCCTGGGCAAGCAGCCCAAGTACGTGATAGTGCCACTTCGATACGGAACTTCCATTTGCACCACGCTCTCACTGCTCATCAGTCCTACACAATGCTGGGTCAACTCTGTTTTGTTTTTTAGCTGCACCTGGCTCAGGGGTTACTCCTGGCTCAACTCTCAGGAATTATTCCTGGTGGTGGTCAGTGGGATGTTTCTGGAGGGGTTGAGGTGGGGGGGGGGGGGGTGAGAGGGTCACACATGGCTGTGCTGAGGGGTTACGCTGCTCCTGGCTCCGTTCTCAAGAAGAATACCTGGCAGTGCTCAGGGGACCATACAGGATGCTGGAGATTGAACTGAGGTCAGCTGCATGCAAGGCAAGAGCCTTACCCACTGTACCACTTTACTATCACTCCAGCCCCTTTCCAATTCGTCACAATGAAAACTCTTATGCCTTTAATCACTAAGTTAGGTGTTAAGGCTAAAATTCTCATCTCTCTCTCTCTCTCTCTCTCTCTCTATTTGTGTTTAGGTTTCGGGGCACATTTGGTGGCGCTCAGGAACTACTCCGGCTTAGTGCTCAGAGGTCACTCTTGGTAGTGTCTGGGGGACCATGTGATGCCAGTGATCTACCCTGGGCCTCAACAAATGAACAAATGCAAAGAAGCACTCCGACCTTCTGAGCCATCTCCCTGGCCCCATCAAGCCTTCATCTCTTGACCTCAAGGTCCCAGCTTATTCACAGAACATAATGTCTCCTCGGTGCACAAGGCACAGAATACGCATATACATATTGGTCATCCCAAGAATTATCCTTCAGTGTATTAAATCTAAATTAGAATACCAACCTGCTCTCTGAATAGAACCTGTTAGAATTCTGTCCGCTGTGTCATACTTGGTGTGATAAATGTATCCATTCTCAATAAAAGCCAAGTCTATTCCTAAGATATACAGAAAAAAAGAAAAGAAAAAAGAAAAGTCAAGGTCATTTTGCTTCACAGATCAACCATGCTATCAGCTTATTTGTTTAATAAGTTCAATTCCCAAATGACAAAATGTCAAAGCAATGCCATGACTGATATGTCACATATAAACAATAATGTTGGTCTCTTTCAAAATCTTTTTTTTCCTAAGTTAAACCGCTGACGTGTCACTTTTTTACCTTTGTTTTATTTTAAAAAATACAATTCATACAAAAAGTATTCTCCAACCACATAAAGCTGTAAAACAATAGATCACTGAAAAACACTATTATGTTTTCCAAATACTCAGAAATTAAACAATATACTTCTAGTCCATGGAAATGGAATAAAAGTAAAAGTTTCCCAAGAATCATCAAAAAATACCCTAGAATATTTTGGAAGTTTCTAAGAAAAATTCATAGTTTTAAATGCTATTAAAAATAAAATATTCACAAATCAATAATCTAAGTTTCCCTCTCAAATGCATGGAAAAGAAGAATAAAATAAGCCTAACTTAAGCACAAAACTTAAATAGGAAATTTACGAGCAAGAAATTATCAAAACTGAAAGAAAAATAGAGAAAGATCAATGGAATGAAAGTTTTTATCCCTAAGGTCTAGACTGAAAAAGGAAAAAAAAAGAGATGAGGCAAAAACAAAACTGAAGATCATATTATAGACATTTTCTAATATCAGATGGATCAAAAGAAATCACTAGAAACATAATTCAAAACCTGAATGAAGTACACATATTCTTCAAAAACTACCAATTACCAAAACTGACCCAAAATAAAACATGCAAACTGAAGAGTCCCAAAATGTTTTTTTAACTCAGAAACAAGATCGGTTTTAAAAGAAGCAAATACAAATTTTAGGAATAAAAAAAAAAACCAGAATGCAGATAAGAAGAATCAATAAACTTGAAACTTCTCTCCCACATTTTATGTTTCTGGGGGTCTCTTTCCTTTTTCAAGTATGGTTTCTTTTCCTTTCATAGAAGCATGTATAACAGGATTGACTTAGTGGTGACATTTGTTCTTTCACTCTCATTTGTCTGAAAAGTTCTTGATTCCTCCTCCAAACCTGAATGACATCCTCGCTGGGCAGCATGTTCTTGTTGGACAGTCCTTTCCACTCACTGCCTTGTGTGCTTCATACCACTCCATCTGGAGCTCCCACAGAAATACCTGCCGTTAGTTCTCGGTAGGTCCCCTCACACACAACTCTTTACTTTTACTTTATAGGATACTCTCTGCATCTTTGGGTTTTACCATTTTAACTAACAATGTGTTTTTAGTGTGCATCTGTTTGGGTTTTGTTTGGAATTTTTTGAGATTTCCAGTCTGGATGTCCAACTCCTTTCTCAGCTTGGGAAAGTTCTCACCTGTTATTTCTTCAAATACGAATTCTGTCCTATTTTTTCTCATTCCTCCAGAATCCCTCTACTATCAATGTTGTTCCCAACATTTATACATCACATTTACAACATCAAAGCCGTCCCGGATACCTCAGATGTTCTCCTCTTTATTTTTATCTTCTGCTGGTCTTTTTCGATGGTTTCTATAACTTTCCCTTTGAACTCACTGATTTTCAGCTTATCCATTCTGTTTCTGAGCTCCTCTATTTTTCAGTTTTGGTTTTGGTTCAGCTTGTGTGTCTTTTCGCGCTAGGATTGCTGTTTGTTTTTTCTCAAACTTTTGATCATGTGTCTGTCTTGCTTGAAATTCTCTTCCACTGATCATCTCATTTCAAAGAGCTGCTTTAGGACTGCTACGCTGATGGCTTCAGGTAGCTTACGTATAGCTCCACTGAAGGTTATTTTTTTCCAGGCTGCTGTCCAGATCTGCTGCGGGAGGTGAATTCCTCCATCTCCTAACCATACCCGATGCTCCACAAAGGTTTAGGGGTTTGAGGCCTGTGTTCACATGGGGCTGGGAAGCAACCGGGGACCTCACAATCACGTATGTCTGGCTCCAAGTTCAAGCACAGTCTGGGCAAGTGAGGTGGAAATCTGTGATGCCAAGTACCTGGTACCAGCCGTAACACCGAGGTCAAGCGTTTCTTATCCCCTCTCTGGCCTGGAGTTTGAATAAGCTTGGCTAGCGGCCAGGAGCTGAGACTGCAAGCATCCAAGGGGACTCAGAAGTTACGATCAAAACAGCCCGAGTGGCATCTGGGGGCTTAAGGTCACTAGATCTCAGCTGAAATGAGGCTACCTCAGTCATCCAGACCTTCAGGAGTCATAGATTGGTAACAGAGACGCATCCCGGCGGCTGGCAGGGAGTGGTTTGGCCAGCAGGAAAGAGAGCAGACCTGGGGTTCCCATCTCAACCACTTTAGCTTTGGAAGGCCCAAAGGTTGCTGTCTGTAGGCCTGTGGCATGCTTGCAAGTAGTCTGAGGTAGACCGGCTGCCACAGCCTGCTCACCGCTAGGACACTGTGTCTCCGCCACACCTAGGTCAGCTACTTCTTGGAGGTGGGTGGAGCACTTCTCACGGAAATTCCAGATTCCTTTGACTTACTTGATTTATTTGATTTCAAAGGTGTCTGCCCCTCAGCACTGCCTGCCTTCAGCAAGACTGAGAATTCACCAAGATGGCACCTGCCAGTGACTCGAACCCGTTATACTCTATAGCTTCTCTTGCCTCCAGTTCCAATTTCATGGATAGGACCATCAGACTGGGGTGCCCAGTGTATATGGCGCAATGTCGCCCCCTCCTCAGAGTCAAGTTCCACACCTAAGAGATCTCAGCCGCACTGCACCCTGTTGATGGTGAAGTGGTTTCTATCTCAGTGAGGGCCTTCCTCTCTCTCCCATCCGTCTGGGTGCTTTCCTCTCGTACCCTACGGTGAAAGCTTTGTTCACTGAGGTTTCAGACAAGCATCTGCACTGCTGTGTAGATTAAGCCAAGTTTTGATGCGGACTTGCTGATTTCAGACGGAACTAAACATACAAGTTCTCAGAATTTGGCCAGCCCAGCCTTGCCCCTGTGCACCATGTTTCTCTTGCAAACACTTATAAACTAGGCCGCAATGGTACAAAATTCAGCACGTAATCACTCTGCAATACTATTGTAGAGGAAGGCTAAGTCACATGGCAAGAGGTGGTAATACGAGCTTGGGAGGGTGGTGAAACTTGGCCACAAACATCGCTCACAGGCCAGAGCCAAATTTCAACTTCAGACAACTTCAAATGAGTTCCCAAGGGAGTTGACAAAATAAAGATAACAATGAAAGCCAAAGACCCTTGAAGAATCCACCACCTTCTTTTGGGAATAAAGGGCCAAGCAATTCTCCCTTATTCTGTCACGCTTCGGGGCAAGACAGCTTGTTCTAGTGAGGGCAAGCATGAAATTAGTCTGGAATTTTTAGAAAAAGGAAAAGATCAGAGAAGTTTCAAGAGAGTCCAACTATACAGGTCTCATGAAGAATTTGTTATCAGAAAATGCTGTTTACTTACAAACTTCCAGAAAGTAAAATCTGCTTTTACAAAAGCCATAGCTACTGACAAAAATACCTGGAATGTTCCCAAAATCTCTGTAGATACGGAAGTCAGTATCTGAAGGAATGATTCCACTCTGAAAAACCTCCTGAGCCACCACAGAAGCAAACGGATGCTTTGCTGCTGAAACATAGGCCTGAACCAACCACGGATTCTCGGGACCTGAAATGAACACAACACAGGGTTACGAGATGCAGGGTTCATCTGGTCAGTTTTCTTGCCACATCTATTTACTCAACACACCTGAAAAAAAGATGCTATGCTGGTTTAGGGTCTAGACTTTATTCTTTTAATCCCTTTCTCTCTTTTTTTCAATGTTTCCCTAATATGCTTCTTAGAATTTTTAAAAAACCACCTTTTAAAAAGGAATTTTTAACAATAAAATATTAGCACTACAAACCTTTTTCATATGCAAGAGCTTTTTTTTAGGATAGTCACATGACCTGTATTACCATTCCCGATCTTTCAGTCCTCTCCATGTAACTTATAACATCTCCCTGGAGAAGCAGCACATATGCCTCCCACCCCTATTAACCACAGGCCTGATCGAATGAATTAGTTCAGTCAATGGATAGTGAGTGGGAAAGACACAAACCACAACTAAGACGACTTAGCCACCACATGGGGTCAGGAATGCCACACGTACCCTGGATATGTGAGGCACTGGGTTCCACAGCAACATCATACAGACACACACACTCTCCCACATATGCACGCATGCACACGCACACGCACACACACACACACACACACAAACACACACAATTATATGAACCATCCTTCTTGTTGACTGTGGCCATGATACTGATACTCTTCCTTCAGTCTGGACCCAAAATGAATAGGTTACATGAAACATAACATATATAAGGACATAACTGCAGTTTATGCAGAACCAAAACATAGCATGGGCCCATTCTCCACCATCCAATATTCCCAGTATTCCTTCCCCCACCCCAACCCTTCCCACCTCCTGCCTCTGTGGTAGGCACATCATTCCCTCTTACTCTCTCTGTCGACACTTTTGGGTGTTATGATTTAAAAGCAAACTAATTATTATTATTATGGTTTTTTTGTTTGCATTTTGGGTCACACTCAGCAATGCTCAGGGGTTACTTCTGGCTCTGCACTCAGGAATCACTCCTGGTGGTGCTCAGGGGTCCATATGGGATGCCGGGGATTGAACCCAGGTCGGCTGTGTGCAAGGCAATATACTATACTATACTATAGCTCCAGAGGTGGGGAATGGACACTGGTGGGGGGATGGGTACTTGAACATTGACTGAAACGCAATCATGAAAGTCTGTAACTGTATCTCACGGTGATTCATTAAAATTTTTTAAAAATTACAAAATAAATAACATTTAAAAATAAATAAATAAAATAAATCACTGTCACTGTATCACTGTCATCCTGTTGTTCATGGATTTACTCAAGTGGGCGCCAGTAACATCTCTATTCGTCCCAGCCCTGAGATTTTAGCAGCCTCTCCTTACTTGTCTTTCCCAACGATCGGAGGCTCTTTCAGGGTCAGGGGAATGAGACCTGTTATAGTTACTGATTTTGGCATATGGAATATACCACGGGGAGCTTACCAGGCTCTGCCCATGCAGGCAGGATACTCTTGGTACATTGCCGGGCTCTCCGAGAGGCATATATATATATATATTTCTCTCTATGATTTGTTGCCTACTGTCTGAACTTTATCAAAAATGGTGTGGTAATTATGGAAAATGGGTAAGAAGTGTCTTATGATAAATAAAACAAAAATAAAAGATAAAATTTAAAAATGAAATAAAATAAGAAGAAAAATTAAATAAATTAATTTAATTTAATTAATTAAAAATAAAAAATAACTTTCATGGACAAGTTAGTAAGTCTTCACTGTTCTAATCCACAACAATTCAGAGATTGCTTATGACAACCAAATTTAGCAAAAAGTTGACTGATGTAGCTAGATCAAGTAATTATGAACATATTTCAGGTAGGGCGGTTGCCTTGCGCGCAGCCAGCCTGGCCAAGCCAGGTTCGATTCCTCCGCCCCTCTCGGAGAGCCTGGCAAGCTACCAAGAGTATTCAATATGCCAAACACTATAACAAGAAGTCTCACAATGGAGATGTTACTGGGCCGGCTTGAGCAAAATCAATGAACAAGGGAGGACAGTGTTTGTTTGTTTACTTGTTTGTTTGTTTGTTTCAGGGCCAGAGAGACAGTATGGGGATTAGGTGCTTGTCTTGCATGTAGGCAACCCAGTTTAATCCGTGCACCATATGTTTCCCCCAAGCACTGCAAGGAATAATCCCTGAGCACAGAGACAGCAATAATCCCTTAGCACTGCTGGGTGAGGCCCAAATCACAATGAATTTTAAGAATAATAACAGTTTTGTAACTTTATAAGCAGATAACCAAATTGCTTTAAAAAATGCACTGTCCTCCCGTTGTTCATCAAATTGCTTGAGGGGGCCCAGTAATGTCTCCATTGTGAGTCTTTGTTGTTACTGTGTTTGGCATTATCGAATAAACCACAGGTAGCTTGCCAGGCTTTGACGTGTGGGCAGGATACTCTGGGTAGCTTGCTGGGCTCTCCAAGAGGGACGGAGGAATCGAACCCAGCTCGGCCAGACTGGCCACGTGCAAGGCAAACGCCCTACCACTGTGCTATCGCTTACTACAGAAAAAAAAAATTATGGGAAAGGGAGGAGGAATGGAAGGGTGTGGAAATATACTACTATAGGAGATGCTTTGGTGATCAGACACTACAATCAATATTTTAAGAAGATGATAGCAATAACTTAACCGCACAAGTGCAATTTAAGGAAAAGAAAAAAACTAATGCCAAAGGAAATTCCTGAAACTAAAAAATAATTGATACAAATTTTAAAAGATGATCTAATAAAAGATTAAATAGAAGACAATTAAAAATCAAAAGAATTAGAAATACAGAATGGAAAAAGTGTGGAAATGGGCCAAAATGATAACACAGAGGTTAAGGCACTTGCCTTGCATGTGGCCCACCCTGAATGACAGTAGAGGTTAAGGCACTTACTTTGCACAGAGGTTAAGGCACTTGCTTTGCATGTGGTCCACCCTGAATGATAACAGAGGTAAAGGCACTAGCCTTGCAAGTGACCCACCCTGGTTTGAGCCCCAGCATTTGACTCCAAGCCCTGCTGAGTCCAGAGCCAGGAGTAAGGCCTGAGCACCGCTGGGTCTGACCTCAAAACCCACACTAAAAATAAAAAAGGAAAATGGATGAAAACACAGAAATGTATCTAAGAGACATACAGGATACAGTGGAAAGGTCTAACATAAAAGTAACTGGAATCCCAGAAGTGGAAACAACGCAGCAGAAGTAATGTTCTAAGAGTGGATGGCAAATAACCTACCCAAATGCAAAAAAAAAAAAAAAAAAAATTCAAGCCATGAACTTATTAAAAAGACTTGACAAACCCCAAACAGGATGAATATAAAAGGACCAGGTCTCCAGAGAGAAACGGCTAATTCCGGGCTTAAAGTTAGAAAAGAACAAGGTACACTGGAATTTTCTGTGTCAGAAAGTAAATGATCAAAGGAAGACATCAGAGAACATGTCAGAACTCATGTACTAGTTTGAAGGGCCACACTGGAACAACTCATACATCAAAGTGATAGTAACAATATAAAATCCCAACATTACACAAAAATGCACAAAATGCTAAAATAAATACACAAATCAAGGTGACCAGAAAGTCTCCCTTCTAGCAGAATTCCAACAGCTCACTGCAGATGGAAATGTTCAAGCAAGAATGCTTTGTGGCGCAAATCAATGACTGCTAAAGTTAGGATCCAAGTTTGATGAGAAACAGGATATTTTCATAGTTCCAAAGCACGTATTACAAAAGGAAAAAAAAGGAAGTTTACAAAGTAAAGGCTACCAATACCAAAATCCAGGGTTGGAGCAACAATGTAAGGGTTGAAGTGTTTGCCTTCAATGCAGCAGATCCTGGTTTTACCCCGAGCTGCATATGACCCCAAGACAAACACACAAAAGCATCTAATGCCCCAAAAGTAATATCATCAGTAATCTGACGTTTCATGGCTGCTGATGCAAAGCACCAAGAACAAAAATGTAAAAGAAAAACTGATGGTGGCTTATCACATTAAAATACCATTATAAAATATTATTACTGACACGTTCGCGTGTTACTACTTAAAAACACTATTGTTAAGACCACACTGGAAAACAAAGTTAAGCTATAAAGAAAATTACCATCACAAAAATCAGGATAAAAGGTCATTCTCCGAAACATGAGTCCACAAGCAAAATTAAACACCAAAGACATGGGTCAGAGTAATGGAATGACTAGGGGGGCTTCTAGACTGCTTGCTGGCAACACTCTTGATAACTGATCTGAGTTCTGGTCACAAAATCATACTTAATTTGTACAAGTTCTATTACACTGAACACTCGGGTGCTGTGTTTTTATCATACCATGATAAAAGATGAAACAAAAACACTCAGAAATAAATTCTTAAGTTTATTTTATATACTGGACCATAAAATATACCTGAGAAATAAGGATCAGAGGAATAATACAGTAGGAAAGATGCTTTGTTTTTACACAGCTGACCTGGGTTCAATTCCCAGCACCCCATATCCATATATGGTCACCTGAGCACCACACCAGGAGTGATCCCTGAGTAAGACCTATACACTACCAGGGGTGATCCAAAAACCAAAACCAAAACCAACCCAAAACAAAAGTTTAAAAGCCTGAGAGATAGATAAGTGCAATAAGCAGCAAAACTATGGCTTGAAATATCTGCTACCTGGCTTACAGATCCCACTGGACATTACAGACTTGCTCCAGCCTCTCGCTGAGACGTACAGGTTATGAAGAGGCTGGATTTCTGTGTGAAAAGGAGGATTGGGGAGACTGGAATGGGGAAGAATGATAAATTCTGGACTTAAATGAACTCCCCGACAGAACTGAGGCAAAAGCAGCCCCATCCATGATCAACTTGATATTCTTGTTGGCTGATAATCCTACAAGGAAGACAGCTGCACATCCCACAATGAGGAACGGAAGCCTGTGGTGTTACGTGACTTACTCGAGGCTGTGAGTCCAGCGTGTGCTATAGCTAAGGTCGAAGCCTAGGTCGTCTGACTGCAGAGCCTGTGCCC